TGTGAATTGACAGAGCCACCTGGCATCTGGGCTATGAAAGCACAGGTGCCCAAGGAAAAGGGAGACAAGCCCTCTCAAGAGCTCCCTGCCCAAAGCCTGCCTGGGGGTGGCAGCCAGCAGGGACAAGGGTATAGGAGCAGTAAGGAGCAAAATGATATTTACCCAAGGGGTTAAATATATCCAGGAGCAGCGCCCCCAGGACTGTGTAAGCCTGGGGGTGTGGGTGGAAAGGAGGGAGCCTGACCTAGCCTGGGGATGATGAGGGATCAGAATCAGGCTGGAGGGTGGCTGGGGCACAGAGCATCCTAAACAACCTGAAGCCCAGCCATGCTGGTGCTGGGCTAGTGGCTCTGGGCCAGTGGCTACCCTGGCATTAGGCTTTAGTGCCTTGTGCCAGCACTAGCTGCAGCCTGGCTGGTGTCTCCCATGTCTGGATGAGCGTGGTTTATATGCCCAAGCTATGGCAGTTTGCAGTGAGTCCCCGTGTGCATCCTGCATCCCAGCTGCTCGTAGTGGGGCAGGGCATCCATTTGAAATCCCCTTTGCAAGGAACTCCTTGCTTCTCTTCCCTGGGGAGCAGCAAGCATGGGTATTACCCTCTCCATGCACCCCACCCCATGTCTGCCAAGAAGTGGAGTTTTCTGTGTGCCAGAGGCTGTCAAAACAGGTAGCCAAGGGAGGCCTCCTGTGCTGGGGCTGGTGGGACCCCTGTGCAGGGGCATGGGAGGTCTGCAGCTGCAGCATCCCTTCGCAGCCCCTCACTGGTATGGAGAACCAGGGGAACGGCTCTTGCTGGAGGATGAGGAGGAGGGGGTGCTGTTGGGAAGGGTGGCTTCGCCCCACCCTGTAAAGCCTGGCACCTCCCTGGGGAGCATCAGCAGAAGATCAGGCTCTGCTGGGGGTCAGGCAAAACCCCAAGCAGGGGGCTTGGATGCCACCTTCTGCTCCATGTGATGGATCTGGGCAAAGGGCAGGGCCTAAGATCTCTGACCTCTTGGATGTTTCCCTGCATTAACAGCCTGTTTCTGCCTAAAACACCCTGTCTGTCCCATTGCCATCTGTCCCTCCAGGCAGGGGTATGAGCAGTCATTCCTGACAGTTTAAGGCTTAGTTAATGTTATAAATATTATCTAAAAGCAAGTGTCAATTCAAGGCATAATCCCAGGCTGATGTGTAGCTAGGTGGCCCATACAAGAAAAGCAGGATATTTGGACCCGTGATGCAGTTATTTGGTCATGCTGCCGGTGTTTAGATTGAGACCTGCTGTGTGCATCCATCCGGAGCTTGTGAAGGCAGCGAGGCCTGCAGGGAGCAAAAGTTCAGCCTGGATTTTTAAGGGGAGTAAAGCATGGGTTTGCTTTTTGGGAGCAGGAAAGGAAAGGTCTTTCTGGGGCTGAACACCCCTCAAGGAAAATGCACATGGTGAGCCACCAGCATAGGCTCTAAAATACCCTTTGCCCCGCAGGAGCCCCTTCCCTGAGCTGTAGTTATCGGGGAGCTCATGGGGCTTTTAAAGCCCTGGCACAGGAGGCAGAAATGGGCTGCGTGGTCCTCTCCATGCCAGGAGAGAAACCCTGGTAAACGTGAGTGCTGGGAAACTGAGCAGGGGCTGAGGGACCACAGTGCCAGAGATGTGCCCTAAAATAAATGGGTGCAAGGCACCAGGGATACAAGAGCTGTGAATAATGCTCCTATTATTATTACTACTACTATATTGCTGGGTAGGAAACAGCACAGACTTAATGGCTGAAAGCAGCAGCAGTGATAACAGGCGCTAGGAATGGTTTTCAGGGCATTTATTTCCCTGCAGGAGTGTTTTTCAGCAAGGGACAGCTGGGGCTGGGTAAGGCAAATGAATGCCTTGCACAGCACAGGGCAGTGGGAGTGCGCAGCCCAGCAGCCATGACAGCATCCTCCCTCTCCTGCAGCAAAGTCCTGTCGTCAGGAGAAGCTGACCCCAGCCTGATGGGCTATTTTCAGTCCAGTTCCCTAAAGGAATGAAGGTCATGAGCTCGTGATGCTGGTTTCCTCCTTCTGGGCTGAACCCACGGGTTATATCCAACCACCTACAGCATGCAGTGAGGGGCTTGGCAGAAAAACCAAGGCCCCCAAAACCTTAATGAACATTAGCAGCTCTGCTGATCAGCAGTCTCTGCCTGTTGGGACTATGCCACTGACCAGGGTGGAGGAGGGAGCGAGGGGGTGGAAGACACCACAGCCTGCCTACCCTGGCACCCGGTCCTGGCCGTGGTGGGAAGAGCACCCTCCTGATGCCTCCTCACAGCAACAGGGAACACGTGCTCCTGTTTGCTCTTGGGATGTTTTCACTGCCCTTGTGCTGCCTGGGGTTTCTCCGTTGTGTAAAGAGGTTGAGAAATGGAGGAGGGTATGCGTTTAGGGCTATGCAACGTTCAACTAGATGAATTGTTTTTGCCCCAGACAAATGTCAGCAGTGGCTTTACAGCTGCATTCTTGCTTGCTTACTCTGCCACTGCCATGGACCATTTGTCTCAGACTTTAAATGTCTTTTACCGATTACTTCCTCTATTATTTTTCCAGAAACCCAACTAAAGCTTACATAACCATCCCTTGTTATGCAATCCACCATTCAAGTTTTGTTTGCTAGGAAACAATGCGTTCGTTTTTTTCATTCTTTGTCATTGAATCATAGAATCATTTAGGTTGGAAAAGACTCGTAAGATCATTGAGTCCAATCATTAACCTAACATTACCAAGTCCACCACTAAATCATGTCCCTAAGCATCACCATCTTTTGGAGAAGAAACAACAATGAAACCCACATTGGGGAAAATTTATCCTTTCTATGTGTCATTGGATAGGTCTTTCTTTTGCAGTTAAGTGATGGACTCCTGCTGGCCTCTTAATGCGCACTGGTTCTGCTTTCACACCCTTGCTTGAACTTAAGATAACTTGTCACACCTGATGTCAATGGGTGCAGAGGTACCAATTGCCACATGCTGAGGTTAGTTGTGCTCCTGTCATTTCAAAGGCTGCACTCTCTGAATCTTAGGATTTAGTTCTTTCCTGCAATTAATTTGGAATAATGTTTGAGATTTGTGATAGCCTGCACCCTTTCTGTGTCTTACTGCTTCTCCTCTGCAGTACAGAATGTAGAGTAGCTGCTGTAAAAACTAGAAGGCAAAATTGGGCTTATTAACTGGTATGTAAAATGCACTGGGCCAATTCTGAATGCTTTCAGTGAAGAAACTAGAAATTCAAGTAACCTTGTACTGTCAGATTATGGCTATATATTAGTCAACACATCATGGGTCAGTCCCCACCCGACATTGATTGCTTATGCCGGCAGTTCAGAAAGGTGTTGAAGGCATGTTATGGCGTTACAGACACTGTTCTAGGAAAGGTTGATGTAGGATCTGTGGTTTTTTACTTTATGTCTCAAGTTAATGTAGTAACATAACCTTCTATATAATGAGAAAAGCTCTGTAAAGCAGATGCATATTCATTCAGTCCTAGGCCACAAACCGCTCCTGGCAAGGCAAAGAATTCAGCACATGGCACTGTATTTTTCCTTGAGTAGCACTGAACTTGCTCTTTAACATCAGGATAACTTCACAGCAAGTGAAAGCTAACCCACTGGAACAGCAATGCAAGTACTTGCATATACAAAACCCAGTGGTGGGTTTGAGCATGCCAGTTCATAAACTGAACTGGTAATTTAGCAATGGAGCTGAATTACCATGTTACTGCTACAACCCGATGGTGGGTAGTTTCCTCCCTCCTGCAGAACACCTGCACATGACAAGCAGCAATCACTTGACTGGCTGAAGTCAAGTTACTTTAAGAAGTAGCTTGATTGCTTGTGAAGCAAGGACTTCTGAGAATAGCAGTGTGCTTCACTACGTGCTTAAATGATCAGTGACTTCCAGTTGATGGAGCTGGTGATTTTGTTCTAACTTGGGCTTCTATCTCCCCAACACATGGCTATTTATGATATTATAATGGGTCCCTAATGGGAGCTTCACAAGTATGCCTGTGAGCATTAACAGCGCTAGGCAGGGCCAGGAGGTTGGCTTGTTACATCCAGAAAACAAGAGTAGCTGTTCAATGACTTGTGAGAGCTAGACTGTAGCCGTCATCCAACACGCCTGTACATGAAGGAAGCAGTTAGTGCTTTGCTCTAGGCTTCATGCCAATATTGACCTCTGAGTACATATATACACCCACAAAATTACTTTCCCCTCTTCAAAGCATGCCCTTCCTATTCATGAAAGCATTAAGTAGCAGGGCAATTAGGCAACAGACCTAAGTTTTCAGAGGGGTTGCAAATGCAGTACTGATCTTCTCTTACAATGAACCACTAGACTGCTTACTGAAAAGCAGTTTTTACCCTAGCTCTGAGTGCACTGGAGAGCAGACTATGCCAACCTGAAGAGACATAGGCAGCCAGAGGCAACTTATATGTACCACCTGCAGAGGGCAAATGTACCCTCCTTTCTCAGCCACTACACCACCCTGCCACCTTGGTTTTCTAACTGTCAAGCAGTCACAAAATTCCACTTTGTAATAGTGAGCACCATGCTGAACACCAAAGGGGGAACACTTGTGCACAGAACTACAGAGGAAGAGTATGGCAGCAGAGGGAGACAGCATCTAGCAGAACCCATTCTAAATGCCTGCTTCAAAAAAAGAAAGTGCAAGCTTATTATACATCATTTCTCAAGTAGTATACTCTCGCTTAAGTTTTAGTGTGCATGTAGTACTATACCTGCACATTTTCAAAACCTTCCAGGCAGAAGCTCATGAGCTACAATACCATTTTTCTCTTCTAATAAGAAATAAACCCATCCCTTGTAGTACACCAGGAAACACTGCTAAAGTTCTTTTGGCATACGTTCATTGAAAAGGCAGTAGTTCAGCTAAGGGGCATTAAGCTGTCAACCACTGTTTTTACACCACCACATGCCCTTCCAACCACTTAGGGAAGTTAGAGAAGCAAACAAAAACACATCTGGGCATAATGGCTCTAGAAATTTATTTTCAGAGCTTAGTGCTTCGACTATGATTAAAATACTTAAGCAATTTAAAAATGCTACTGACTGGGTACTAGAACTAGACAAGAACACAACTAACACCATTACTTTCATGCACTGACAGATACTAGTTTGCTCATGCCACTGAAGTAGGACCTTTCCCGTTCACTCATCACTTCAAAATGTAGGGGTCTTCTACAGAAGTTGCATTCAGCTGACGAATGTGGTTTCAGCTCCAGACCAACATCGTTCCATGTAGCCAGCAGTTTTTCTGGTAGGAACGGAAAAGTTAATCAAGATCAGTGGATTGCTTTAGAGAAGCAGCAAAAGAGAAGTACCAGCATACTTATTCTCCTAGCAAATGAGGAGGGGTAATGGGAATTCACTGTGACATAATTTACCTCTTGAGCAAGGTGACTGGGCTGCAATTAAGTCTCAGCTATCCTCATACCACCCCTTCTGACAGGATCAAGTAGCAGCTACTTTCCCTGGACAGATCCATGTTTAAGACAGAGTAACAGCTTGGCCAAGGAGACCAGATTTCTTTGGACACCACATAACAAATGAAGATTTCTTTGGACAATGCATGAGCAGAGCCCCAGCAGAGGTGGTTGCGTACAAGACTGCACTGGTCTTGGACTGCACTGGCCTTGGACACTCTATTCCAGGTCACAGTGCACTAGCCTTCACACATCATGCTCAAAGCAGGTTAAATGCAGAAGTATGCACTATGTGTGCTGCAGTAGCGGAAAGAAAGTTACATCTAGAACTTAAGCATTTCCTAGTCTTACCTTTAGTATAAAGACTGCATAGACAGCCCAGTATTTTCATTGCACTGATGCAAGAATCCACTCACCGAGAAAATAACTCATCATCTGAGGGGTGTGGTGAGGTGTAGGGGCAATACGTAGCAGCTCTTCTCCACGGGGAACTGTGGGATAGTTGATTGCTTGGACATAGATGCTGTGCTGACTCATCAGCTTGTCACAGATAGCTGTATTTTTAGCAGCATCTGCAACCTAAAGTTCAAAATTGTAAGTTACAAGACCAACCAAAACATGCAAGGTGGCAGAACTGTCAGCCCAACTTAGCTAGCCACAAGAATCAAATAGGACTATTTAGCCTTCCTTGTGCCACTATAAATAGCATACACACCAGAAAGAGCTTGTGCTGTAGAGCCCTCTGAGCATAAGCACAGCATTGCAGCTTAGGTGGGTAGCTGTTTAAACCTGAACTCTTCTTTTTACTCGCTAGTTACCAGTCTCCTTGCTTTCTGTATACTGTTAATTGTGGGTTTCATACACTTTATCATTCTGCTTTACAACATTTATAGCAGGCTGAGGTCAACTTAAGTAAGACTCCTAGTACATCACTGCTGAATGCTAGGACAGGTTTGAACTTTGTGAATATTAACTAATACCTGAAAGTGTAATGTGATCACAGACAGAAAAACAGGCACCACAGTCCTGTGTCAACAGTGACCCAAGTACTCACCCTTATTGGAATGATGTGACTGGGGCAGTGCACCACAGGAAGCCCTGCATCCATCAGCATCTGTCTCATAAGCTTCACATTGCGTTGGTGCTGGCGCCTCAAAACTCGCCCCTCTGCACTCTTCAGGGTTCGGATGGATTCTAGGGCACCAGCCAAGAGCATAGGTGGCAGGGACGTTGTGAAAATAAAGCCAGCAGCATACGAACGAACGGTGTCTATCAGAGACCTTGTACTGGAGATGTATCCTCCTACACAACCAAATGCTTTGCCTGAGGGGTGAGGGGGGGGAAAAAAGGCAACCAAGCTTATTCTTTCCACCCATTAGAATGGCTTGAGGTATTATAACCTTTCTTTGTTTTCACTTGAAGGAATGAGTTGACTACATACTTAAGGTAGTCATGGCAGGCAACAATTCTAGCTGCACCACCCCCCCACCCAGCTAATCTGTATTTACTCAGCACATGTTACAGCTTTGTTTTTAAGCCAATCCTGATAACATGGATCTACTTATTACACAGCAAGGACAGTTCAAGACTCTCAAATACTCAAGTTTTGATTTTGGGGAAGACCTTAAGCCCAATCATCAGGCATAGACTTCAATACTGACCCCAAGAGATCAACACTAAGTCTCTCAGCAGATTTAAAATAATCTGTTCCAGAGATGCTAGAAATAGCCTATGCTCCTAAGGAGTACACAAGGTTGTTACTGTGATTGTACAGTTGATATCAGCCCCTGTTTCCAAATACAGGTGGATGTTCAGGTATCAGAACAGAGCCACAGGTAGAACTAGGGTGTCTGGTGAATGCTTCTGTTCATTAGGCTGTAACCCAAGATTGTAAGTTAGTTTCAAAGCCATGAACTTTCCTGGTAAATTTTATTTATGTTTCAGAAGCTGTTTAAACAATTTCCCAATTTGCAGCAGTAAACTTAGGAGTAAGCCTGCATTCTACTCAGATAATAGCAGTTGCTTCAGTTCTTGCCAAATGTCTTTACATAACTCCCCATCTCGGGTTTCTAGATTAGGAGCACTCCATTTCACATAAAAGAACTAAGTACTACTAAATATAGAGTACTACCCTACTAGCATTCTCACCTGAATTTATTCTTGAGTTGTATAATATGCTACTGGAGGATTTTTTGCTAGCTTGTTTCAAGGAAAAAAAAAAAGGCTATCTTAACTGATTTGTAAGGCAGTGTAAGTAGCTTAACACAAGCTTTTCAAACTGTGGGGCATACTTAAATCCTTTGGGCTTTTTGAAAAATCCTAGGCCCCAACAGCCCTTAGCAAGTTCATTTGAATAGACTGATTTTGAGTCAACCCACTTAATTTGGCTGCTCAGAAGCTTTGCTGCCTTAGCTTCTGTAAAACTACCAGGCCGTGCATACCAAGTGTTCCAGAGATGATGTCCATTTTGTGCATGATTCCATCCCGGTCTCCTATACCACCACCTCGAGCTCCATACAGACCCACAGCATGCACTTCATCCACAAAAGTGATTGCCCCATGCTCATGGGCCACGTCACACAGCTCTTCCAGAGGACAGACTGCACCTAGGAACAAAGCAGTGACTGGCAGTTTAGGACTCCCTGTACTCAGCTTGGGTAAGTATCTGGAGTACCCCCAAACACTAGGCATTTTGGAAGACTATTTTAATGTAAACCCTTATAGCACTGTACACTTTTAGACCTAAAATACAGATGATTTGAGCACTAACCACACTGGAAGGAGAGAAGGGTTTGATGTCAACTTACCATCCATTGAGTGAACAGTTTCAAATGCAACAATTTTAGGGGTAGATGGATCAGACTTCTTCAATAGTTCTCGAAGGTGGTTGACATCGTTATGGCGAAATATGTGTTTTGGCACCCTGCTATTTCGGATCCCCTGGATCATGGAGGCATGGTTTCCAGAATCAGAGTAGATCTCACAGCCTGAGGAAACAGCCTAGTTACACTTTAAGTATAGAAAGCATAACTGATTCCCAGCATTACTTTATGTATGGGAAGTGTTCAAGGCAGCAAGGGTAGCATGTTTAGAAGGTAATACTCAATCAAACCAGCAAGTTACAGATCACAAAGCAAGAATAATATTTAAGGCTTATTTTAGGTGTTTAACACAAACTTGAGCTTAAGGAAATACAGAAGGGTTTTTCCAAGTCCTTAGTATTTTTATCTAACTCTCCTAACTTCTGAAGTTAGAGAGAGAAATTCACACCCACAGGCAGAATTCCT